ACTGGAAACAGCGAGGCATGGTGACACATGCCTTTAATCCCAGGAAGTGATGGCAGAAAGCAGAAAGGTATATAAGGTGTGAGGATGAGGAACTAGAGCCTTTTTAAGCTTTTAGCTTTTAGCAGCAGTTCAGCTGAGACCCATTTGGATGAGGATTCAGAGGCTTCCAGTCTGAGGAAACAGGATCAGCTGAGGAACTGACGAGGTGAGGTTGGATGTGACTGGTTCTGTTTCTCTGATCTTTCAGTGTTCACCCCAATACCTGGCTCTGGGTTTGTTTTTATTAATAAGACCATTTAAGATTTGTGTTACAATATGGGTAATATTTTTCTGTGACTTGTGGATGAGGCAGTCTACTCTAAAGCATCTGTGGTATAAGAAAAAAGGCACAGATCCCACTTTCTGGGAATCTTAAATTTTCATTCCTTAAGAATCAGATCCTAAAAAATAACTTAGTGGCTTGATGAAAAAACTCTGTGTATGACACGGTTCATGGACACTGTGGGGCAGACATCCCTTCATTACTGTGGGCATCACCGGAAGAACTCTGTGTATGACATGGTCCATGGACACTGTGGGGCAGACATCCCTTCTGTTACTGTGGGCATCACAGGAAGAACTCTGTGTATGACATGGTTCATGTGGGGCAGACACCCCTTCATTACTGTGGGCATCACCGGAAGCCAGTGACGACCTCCGCCCAAGACAAGGACTCCAGAATCCAGCCATTCCTCCTATTCTCTGAAGCAGAAGAGTGCAGAAGGTGGGAGCTGAGATGGCTCTTAGGAAAGATGGGGACATCTGCTGCTTACAGAAGCTTCAGTGGGAAAGACGTGGCTTAGTAGGCGAGAACATACTCAACCAAGCAAGAGGCTCGGCTTGATCCTCATCACCAACAAACCCAGAAAAATCCTTTAGAAAATTGTTCAAAACTGAAAATAACTTTAGCTTTATGAACTTACCCCCCCACACACACAAAGTATATGAGAAGGAGTTAAAGCTAGAAGATGTCATGAGGTAAGAGCCTGGTTTCATTCACAACACTGATTACTATCTAACACGAACAATGGAGCTTCTGAAACAAAACGCAGATGTCAAAACATCATAGAATGCTATTAAGAGTCTGAGTTCTGGCTAGAGGTCATCTTTGCTTTGCTTCCCCCGCGCCCCCCCCCGCTTTTTTGGTTGTTGTTAATAAGAAGCCAGCCAACCAACTTCAGTAGTTACTTCTGCTAAATGGCAATATTAGTAAAACACCATGGATGGACCACCAGCAGCTACTTCTTATTTATCTATATCATTCACACAAGGCATTCTCTTTTGTTACATTCTGAACTAAGCTAAGGGAAGGCGAGAGATGTGCCTAAAAGCGCACACAGAGAAGGCAAGAACCAGGTTCAATTCGAATGTTCTTCTTCTGGCTCCAACTCTACTGTCTTGTCTCCACAACATTCTCTTTATGAAATGGGAGCGCAAAAGGTCCTCCAGCTCAAAACATTCTTTTCCTTTTTTGGATGAAGAAGTGAGTGTCGGGGCAAAAGGTAAAATGGTAAGGACACAGCTTAACCCAGAGGCCTGCTCACTCCTGACAGACCCAGTTCAGCTCTATTTCCAATAGATGCTTCCTCTCCAAAGCAGAGCACACATTTCCCACATTCACAAAACACTGTCAAACTTCAAGTCAACACAGAATTATCTCGGAAAGAGAAGCACAGAGGTGTGCGTTAGCTGAGCAGGCAAGGCTTTGGACACTGTGGGGCATAGGCGATGTGCTGACTCCCCTTAAGCATAGGAAAACCTGTCCAGGGCAAGTTCTTTAGTACATTAAGAAACTATTAATTAACCACTGGCTAGCATGATTTTATAAACTCAAGAAGTCCTATGGACTCACACTGGCACTCGGAGGCAGACTGCTGACTGCAGATGCTGGTACAATTTTAAGCCGTAACAGAAGGAAAGCACTCTCTTGTCTACACAGCCGAGGAAGGAGGAGGGAAGGACATGCTCGAGAAGACGAGAACAGCACAAGGAGGGCTGTGCCTTACAGACAAACCCCAGAGCGGGAGCAACAGCAGGAAGGAGGTCTAGTTGAGACACTAGGGACAACCTGTGACAGTTCCAGCTAGCCAGCCTGTGGGAGAACAACCCTGGCAAATCCAAGCCTAACCCCAGAAACTGACTCCGGAAATGAACCTCTGCCTTACATCCCTACCAATGGAAAGGAAGTAACAGACGTGTGTGTGTGTGTGTGTGTGTGTGTGTGTGTGTGTGTGTGT